AACCCCATATAATCCTAAAACCCTGCTCGAGGGGGTCAGAACAGCTGTCTGATCTAGATTTGGATAAGTACTGGCCCTACTTTACTGGCGTCGCGTGAAAAATTTACCCCTCGGCAGCATGTTAGTCATGCAGTTAGTTATGCACTATGGGTCACCAACTTATCAAATCTCAATCAGACAGCTGAGAATCCCATCGAGCAGGACTTTCAGGATGATATGGGGTTCACTACCTCAACTCTTCAACCGGCTGAGAAGGAAGAGGTTGTCAGCACCCCCCAATACCATAAGCGCGGAGTCGGCCACACTCAGATAACACCTAACACTCCTATCTCTGGACTAATTTGGACCGGAAAATGGATGCTTTTAAGAACGGACAAGAAATGGTGGCAGGCGGGCTTATGAGCAGATTCGAGTCCGCTTGATTGTGGCGAGTACAGCGATGCCTTTAACTTCATCATCGGCCAAGCCGATCGTCCGCAACTCGCGTCGGCATTTTCCGACCAGTTGACGCTCGGGAGGTAGTTGGACTGGAAGGGCGCGGAGTGGCCGCGCGCGCGCGCGATGACTCGGGGGCGTGTGCCGATCGCGACATCCCGCAGAGCACCACTTTTTAAAATCGGCAAGCAAACCGCGCTTGCCCTCTGGTCTGGCCGCGAAAGACGAAGCTGCTCGGGCCGAGATGCACACCTCCTGACGGCGTGTGAACGCGATTTTCTTCTACTCTCTCTGTGCTCGGCTTCCTAGCGCTGCTGTGCGCGCGCGGGCACTACGTCCTTCCGCACTTTTTTTAATAATAGTTCATTTAACGTCTCCCCATTTGCAGCCCCTGTCGGGGGCGTAGGGGCATGGCGCCTGCACTCCGACGGCTGAGGCGAGGCAAGCATCTAAAGCGTTCGCCGACAGTTGTGCGAGTACAGGATCCCACGTACAAAACACGACGTGCGGCTCCTCGAGGTAGAAAAACTGGAAGAGGATGAAGAGGAAGACATCATGCACACCCCAATTCTATTTATTTACATACTGTATAATTTATTCCGCTCGAGTCCTCTCATCTCGAAAGGGCAACCTTGTGCGTGTCCGTGTGAGTAAAAAATCTCCCAACGTAAAAGGAGTGCAACGTAAAAGGAGTGCGTCCGCCGGGAATTGAACCCGGGTCTCCCGCGTGGGAGGCGAGAATTCTACCACTAGACCACAGACGCTTTTCGATGAATTTTACACGTCAAAGTGCCATATTGAAGAGTAGGGCTCTTATTTCCTCGGCAGGGGGCGCGGTAAGCTCAAGCGCGGCAGAGCGCACACGCTGAGGCAGGCAGCAGCTCAGCTCAGCAGCTCGGTAGCTCGGAAGTGCGGTAGCTCGGCAGGCAGCTCGGTAGCTCGGCAGACAGCTAGCAGCTCACAGCGCACAGCTCGTCTCGGCGCACTCGCAGCGCCGGCCGCCAACAGCCGCGCGGGCCCAGCTCGCGGCTCGCGCGACCGCGAAGATGGACGATGGCGACCTCTTCGGAGGCTTCGACGAGGCGCCCGCCCGCCCCGGCCGTAGCTCGACGTCGGGCCTCGTCGCGCTGCTGCGTGACGAGAACGCTGCGCTGCGCTCGCAGCTCGCCGCGCTTTCGGCTGCGCGCAGTGCGGGCCTGGCGGAGCTGCCCTACCCGGCGGCGCAGGCGCAGCGCGAGCTGATTGCCACGGTGACCTACCACCCAACCGCGCCGCTCGAGCTGCGCCACGGCCTCGAGCGCCTCCTCCGCTCCGCGCGCGCCGAGCCAACCGCCGACAGTCGCTGCGGAGGAGCCGACGCGTCGCCGGTTGCGCGTGCGCTTGAGGTGCACTCTCTGCAGGCCTAGCCCCTACTGTAGCCCAACACTAGCCCCGAACTCTGACATCAACCCTAGCCCTGACACCAGCCCTGCCCCGAACCCCACCTTCCCCTCTACCTACCCCCCTCTAGGTGCACTACCTGCAAGCTTTCTGCTGGGACCCGGCGGGCGAGGTGTCGGGCTGGGATGCGCTGCAGCAGTCGACGCTAGTCTACCACCGACCGCTGGCTCTGCTCGAGGTCGACACCATCCTCTTCTCCTCGGCCGTCGCCGACGGGCGCGGTGGGCGCGGCCGCCGCGGCGGGTGCGGCGGCGGCAGCCGACGCTACTGGGAGCTCGACCTGGGCGCGGACGGCGAGGGCGGCGGGCAGGGGGCGGCAGCGCGCGCGCCCGTGCCGGGTGTGCTCTCGCCTGCGTTACAGATTGCGCTCGGCATGAGCGTCGCTCGCTGTGATCCGCCCACTTACCTTGAGATGATGCGGTCAGTTGGCTACCCACCCGCCTACTTCAGAAAGCCAGCTCCGCTCTTCAAAGTCCGGGGGGAGGACGACCTCGTGTTCCTCGACGACGAGGAAGCGCCTCCCGCGCCCACGGTTTTAAAACCGCCCCCCGCGCGCTTGGTCGACGCGGCGGCCGGCGAGAACCCGCCTCCAGCCGCAGACGAGAACGTCCCAATGATGGCAGCAGCCGACGGCGGCGGGCAGGCGCCGAGCGCCGCCGCCGAGGAGGGTGAGCTGGCCGAGGACGGCGAGCTCGTCGACGCCGCTCCCTTCCTCCAGGCCGCAGTCGAGCGACTGCTCCACGCCGCGCCGCACGCCGCCGTCCTGCAGCCGGGCGCGGCGGCGGTGGGGGCGGGTGGCCTGGAGGGCGAGCCCGTGCAGCTGTACGCGTACCCAGGGCTCAACGCGCCGCCGCCTCCTGGCGCAGATCCGCGCGCCTGGTCTGCGCTCTACGCACAGGCGGCTCCGCACGCCGCCCCGGGGCCGATGCGTCAGCCTGCCTACAGGCCGCACGCTCAGCCCCACGCGTACCCGCAGTACGGGCAGCAGCAGCAGCAGTACCCTCGCCAGCAATATGCCCAACCGCAGCAGCAGGAGGAGGAGCAGCCGCCACCGCAGCAGCAGCCGCAGCAGCCGCAGCAGCAGCAGCAGGAGCCGCCGCCGCAGCAGCAGCAGCAGCAGCAGCAGCAGCCGCCGCAGCAGCAGCAGTATGCGCAGCAGCCGCCGCAGCAGCAGCAGCAGCAGCAGCAGCAGTACCCTCGCCAGCAATATGCCCAACCGCAGCAGCAGCAGCAGTACGCCCAACAGCCGCAGCAGCAGTATGCCCAACCGCAGCAGCAGCAGTACGCCCCACAGCTGCAGCAGTACGCCCAACAGTACACCCAACCGCAGCAGCAGCAGTACTATACTTCTGGTAGGGGCGACCCGCCGCATGCGAACCGCCACGCGCGGCAGCACGCGAACGCGGCCCCCTGGCCCTACTGAGCCCGCGGTCGTGCTACCGCAGCCTGCAGCCAGCTATTTATATATATGGCCTGCGGCACACCTGCAGGCGTACAAGCACACGTCGTGAGACTGGGTGCTAGCTCGAGCTCATTTTTTGCTCGCCCAGGCCTCTGGCTCTCACCTCTGGCTCTGAGACCCAGTTGTTGGCTAGATGTGGACGCGGCCCCAACCACCAGGTCCAAGACGTACCAGTGCGGAGCAGCGGCGAGTCACCGGGCGTGATAAGCCGTCGCCCCAGACCCCGTGCCTATGGCGGGCTTTCCTTCCTCTTCCTTGGGGCTCCGCCCCTAGGCCTCCGCGGCAAACGGGTGCGGTGCGATGAACGCAAGCATTTTCAGAATCATATATTTATGATAGGGATTCAATCAAGCTGGCGTCTGACTGTTCTGAATCTTGTGCTGGTCTGAGCGCTGCGTCGCCCATGGCCTGCTGCGTACCTTCGTCGGCTGCGCTGGCTTGGGCGCCACCGCGCGTGCCGATGAATCTCCGGTAGTGTGCCCGGGCAAGGGCGTTTAGGTAGATGATCTGCTTGTTGCTGTTTAGAATCATAGCGCTTTGTTTTCGGCTTCCTCGTCATCCACCACTTCTACCAGCTCCCCACTTGGGCGTAGCGCGTAGGAGCCTGCGTCAGAGCGCTTAGATCAGCCTGACTTGAACTTGAAACGTACCGCCAGCCCGAACCCCCCTACATTAACATATATATTACCTAAGCTGGCAGGCAATGGGCGACGCAGCGCTCAGACCAGCACAACATTCAGAACAGTCAGACTCCAGCTTGAATCCCTATCATAAATATATTACCTAAGTCGAGTCTAATTGCACATCACCACCCGCAGGCAACACAAGAACACTAATGAACGATTTATGAGTATGAGTCACGTATGAACAACTGTGACGCGTATAAAATTGGGTCGAAATCCGAATGAGTGGCGCGATTCCGCACTAGGGAGGGGGAAAAGTGCTGACCGGGACGAAGAAGTAGACTTTGATCACCCCTGCGCGCTAAGTGTCGATAGCTGATGTCAAATAAAGCCCTCCTCGACGGTCGGAGCCCACCTCGTGTGCCTCTCAGGTGCCTCTAGGGTTAACAACATACTAAAGTAACTAACATTTCCGATTTTCAGCGTTCGGACGGGGAAAGAAGGTCATGGTTCCCGAAGGGGTGCAGCGGAGTTAGTGGCAGATTCGCAAATGGGGCGCCGCCCCATTCACGAATCTGCAGCTAACTCTTCTGCTCCCCAGCTAGTTCGTGAGTTGCTCCGGAGGATAATCACCGGAGTTTTTTGAAATTTCCCCCGGACTCGCCACTAATTCGGATTTCGACCAAATTCAAAGTTTGACTTGCAAGCGATTGTAAAAATAATGCCTTTGACATTTTTTGAATTAAAACATGTTACTAATAGTACCTTTTTCGAAGCCCTGCGCGGCTGTGCGAAATGTTGGCTGGCGGCCTGGCCGATAATGCGATATGTTAAATAACTGAAGATTTTGAGTTGTATTGGCGAGGCGGCCGTGCGCATCAAGATAGACGCAGCTCATCGGCACGATCGGCACGATCGCGGCACGCGGCCATGCACCTGCTGCTCTTGCGCCTGAGCACGCTGGGCCCGATCGCCTCCCAGCGTGGGTACACGACAAACAGCAAACAGCAGATCATTTCCTTAACCACTCTTCCCCGGGCACACTACCGGAGTTCCATCGGCACGCGCAGTGGCGCCCAAGCCAGCGCAGCCGACTAAGGCACGCAGCAGGCAATTATGAACGACGCAGCGCTCAGACCAGCATGACTTCCAGGACAGTCAGTCGCAAGCTTGAATCCATATCAGTAATATAATAAGGAGGCGGCCGCGCGCATCAAGAAGCAACTCATCGACACGATCGGTACGATCGCGGCACGCGGCCATGCGCAGCTGCTGCTCGCGCGATTGAGCGCGCTGGCCCCGATCGCTGCCCAGC